TGGCTTGATGTAGTTAGTCTGAGTATCTGTGGCTTGATGTAGTTAGTCTAAGTATCTGTGGCTTGATGTAGTTAGTCTGAGTATCTGTGGCTGGATGTAGTGAGTCTGAGTATCTGTGGCTTGATGTAGTTAGTCTGAGTATCTGTGGCTTGATGTAGTTAGTCTGAGTATCTGTGGCTTGATGTAGTTAGTCTGAGTATCTGTGGCTTGATGTATTTAGTCTAAGTATTTGTGGCTTGATGTAGTTAGTCTGAGTATCTGTGGCTTGATGTAGTTCGCCTGAGTATCCATGACCTGGTGTAGTTAGTCTGAGTATCTGTGGCTTGATGTAGTTCGCCTGAGTATCCATGACCTTGTGTAGTTCGCCTGAGTATTCATGACGTGATGTTTGAAAGGACATTGTTAGCAATTTCACAAATTGTCTATAATTAATTTCAACTACCGATCAGAGCAAGCTATCTACTTAGGTCAAAACTAGATCAAAACATTATAATGCCTTCTTTAATAAATTGTTTAGGCAGAGTGTTCATAGTGAGTATACTGGAATGGACGGTCTGTTGTAAATAAAACACAAGTGTAGAGGTCTTGATGACGCATTACAGTACACTCATTAATAAAATGTCTTGTTTCATCAGTTAGGTACTCTCGACATTAGTGATATTTTTGGCCGTAAACCCAGTAATAACAAATCACGAGGTCCGGTCAGCTTAGGAGATTTAGGTTAGTCCTAAATCCATATAGTAAGTTAACAACACCAAACAATTTCTAAAATCAAAATACAGTAATAAGATAACAATAGATATATTAAACATTTTAAATGATACTTCTGGTGGAAGTAAAGAACAGAGTATAACTTATAATACAATAGTAATCACCCTTTGGTTTAAGGTATATAATGCATAAGCTAGCGAAGCATGATCCACAGTTTGGGGGACGTAGCATCAACATAAGAGTGAGAATAACTTATGACTGAACAAAATGGGGAACTAAACGTTTGTATGTTGCAGGGGGGGAAGGGGGGCTGGCATGGTCAGTTGGTTAGGGCGCTCGACTCGCAATCTGCGGGTCGCGGGTTCGAATCCCTGTCGCACCAAACATGCTTGCCCTTTCAGCCGTGGGGGCATTATAGTGTTACGGTCAATCCCACTATTCGTTGGTAAAAAAGTTGGCGGTGGGTGGTGATGACTAGCTGCCTTTCTTCTAGTCTTACACTGATAAATTAGGGACGGCTAGCGCAGATAGCTCTCGTGTAACTTTGCGCGAAATTTATAACAAACAAAAAAAAACGTTATTCTCTACAAGACAAACCGATGAAGTAACTGGGTGGCTTATGGAGAGCACACAGGGAGGATGAGGAGTGTGCTTTCTACAAACAAACAAATGTTGCAGGGGAACTCTGTAGCGTCAACATTCAACAAACAATGTATAGGGGAAATGTTTTATACTGGAATCAGTAAATAATTATGTGAGTTAAATCATTATTAGCCTTACTATTATCAGTAACACTAAATAACAGCGATTATGTTTTATTATTTTTATCTAATATCTCACCTAACACTGAATTATAGCAAGTAGAATTATTATCATTAAACTGGACCACCAAACAAAACAGGTGAGACTTATCATCAGTAATATACCATACATTTGGTGTTAATATTTTCAACCTGAATACGACAAAATTCAAGTTGGATATCTTTGTCATCAATCTGAGAATCTAAAGACTACCAAGTTTCTTCTTATAACCGTACGCAGGTCTAATAACAGTAAATTTTGTAAATAATCTCACTACAAAGAAATATAAAAATTCTCAGTGTTGTATTTTAAATATTAAAGACTACTAAGTTTCTTCTTGTAACCGTACGCAGGTCTAATAACAGTAAATTTTATAAATAATCTCACTACAAGGAAATATAAAAATTCTCAATGTTGTATTTTAAATATTAATTAATATGATTTTGATTAGAAATATTTCGGTACAGTAATCAAACTTATGGCATGAGGATCACTAAAGTTTAAAAATATAATTTTTTACTAATATTGTAGCTACCAAACTTACAGAATGAGGATCAGTAAGATTTAAAATATCATTTTTTACTAGTACTGGAGCTACCAAACTTACAGAATGAGGATCAGTAAGATTTAAAATATCATTTTTTACAAGTACTGGAGCTACCAAACTTACAGAATGAGGATCAGTAAGATTTAAAATATCATTTTTTACTAGTATTGGAGCTACCAAACTTACAGAATGAGGATCAGTAAGATTTAAAATATCATTTTTTATTAGTATTGGAGCTACCAAATTTACGGAACGAGGATCAATAAAGTTTAAAATATCATTTTTTACTAGTGCTGTAGCTACGAAACTTACATAATGAGGATCAGTAAGATTTAGAATATTTTTTACTAGTACTGGAGCTACCAAACTTATGGCACGAGTTTTAATAAAGTTTAAAACACGTTTTCTTTTACTAGTATTGGAGCAGAAAGCCACTAATATTCTAGCTGAACACATATTTATAAACCCTTTATTTAAATATTATAAGTGGGGATACTCGAACAATTGAAATTCCAAAAATTTGCTCAGTTAAAACATCTCTTGTAATATTTATTTCTCCAACTATAGTTCAAGATGTTTTACCTCTTATTTACTACTACTACTACTAAAACTGTCCGTCTAGAAACCAGGGTTAGCGATAATATAGGAAACTTGGAATACCTTCACACAGCTACTTAAAACTTGGCTCACTTTACTGTTCCTTCAAGTTCCTCTGCGTTGTCTCAACTACTTGTATTTTCTGTCAACATCTTCAAGTACGAAGGGACACAAATTCAACTGTTTATATTTTTACACTTGAAAAGTTCCAGGTTTATCATGACAGAAAACTAAAACATAAAATAATTTTCTATGAAAAAGAAACACAGTCGTATCACTCAATCCTAAAATTTGTTCTTCAGTCTGATATTATCCAACAAATAATATTTCTTTATATAAAATATTTTCAATTACCAACGATGTCTTGTGGAGTTAATTATTCAGATAAATGGGTTTTCAATATTAGTTATACGAAAACAAATATCTTAGAACTTTCTAAGTCGGTATATTTGGGAAAAAATTTGAATGATTTCTAATATCAAGACCCATTTAAACAAACATTCATTGCTTTACAAAACGTTCTATATATATATATTCAGTAACTCTGCTACTCGTCCTCACAGTCGTTTGATAACTACGAGAGTCTTGGAAAAACATGTTTGTAGGGCGACTATATACGCACAGGAGAACGTTTATCGTTTTATCCAATAGACGGCGCTTAAATCTAGTAGAAAACAAAATACCGCAAAAAATACAACTTAACCATCAGGCATCACACTATATTATGCACACATACATGTTCAAGTGGGCGACTTAACAATTTTAAGTGAAGCAAACTCGAAATATGCATAGTGTTCACTTTCAGTTTTTCGTTAAGAATAGAAAAATTTCAGGCACCAAAAATTAATAAATAGAAATGTGTCTATGTAAAGTGAATATAAATATGCGTACGTATAACTGAGGTGGCCAAAATACACGCGCCAAATTATTTTCAAGTTC